CATAATATACAGTAATAAGCATAACAAAAAATAACAATTGATAATGAGTTAAATCAAAATTAAAAAAAATCAGGCAAAAAAGGGAAATTAGCTGGTCGACCTCGCGGGATTGTGTATCGGCATACAATGGCTCCTTTCTTCCCGTTGATCTGTTGGAATAATCAGCCTTCATCAATATGCAGATACTTGGTTGTTCACATGGGTGCTCTTCTGGCGACCTTTGCCGATCGGTTTCCATATAGCTTGCTAGGTGTAGCTTTTCGCATTAGCCGCGACACCTGGTGTTGTCGCACATTTGGATAATATTCTAGTTTCAACTAAAACACGTGGAAAACACCTATACCTTTGATGGTTAGCAAAACGTTAGCAGTCTTTTGACAAGATCAAAGAATCCTATCATCTCTGTTGTGTTTAACGCACTTCCAACCTGAGCAAGAATTATTTGTAGCTTCAGTTGCTTCCAGTTATGAGATCGACACGGTTCTATTCCATCGCTTTTCAAACGGTTGAGAGAAACCGATTGTTCACGCATCTAAATCTTTTACTCAAGCTGAAGGCGACTATTCTTAAATCAAGCGCGAAGCTCTAAGTCTTATTTTTGCAGTAAAAAAATGTCATCAATTTCTCTGGGGCCGAGACTTTACCTTGTTAACAGATCATCAGCAGTCGGTTGCTATCTTCAGATCAAAGAAAGGTATTCCAGTACTTGCCGCGAGCCGCTTATAAGGTTGGGCTCTATCCCTGATGAATTATACTTTCAAAATTGAATATCGCCCCACTCATCAATTCGGACAAGCAGATGGTTTATCCAGGTTACCACATAAATTCGACTGCACTTTTGATGAAACAAAGTTAACGTCTGAGAACCAGGTAAATCAGTTGCTGGGAGAGTCGATTGACGCTATGCCAGTGACCGCAGAGGATATTGCCGAAGAGACGCAAAAGGTTAGGTTACTGAGTCAAATTCTCAAATTCGTTCAGTCAGGCTAGCCTACACACACTCAGAACCCCCTCTCTCGTCCTTATTTTCACAGGCGCATAGAGTTATCAGTTGCAAACGAGTGCCTATTTTGGGGTTTGCGCGTCATTATTCCGACGGCACTGAGGAACAGAATACTAAAAAGTTTTCATTCGACAAACTTGGGAAACCAAAGTATAAAGTCTAACGCTCGCTAGTATTGATTCTGGCCTGGAATTCATGCAGAAATTGAGCATCTTGCAAAAAACTGTTCAGCATGTTTAGATACAGCAAAAATGCCCCTACATGCTCTCATGAAAGCGTGGCCAGATGCAAAGAAGCCATAGACCCGCCTCCATGCAGATTTTGCCGAGTCTAGAAAAGGAATTTCTTTTTTGATTTTAGTTGATTCGTACTTAAAATGGCCGGAGTTTTTCCATATAAAGCCTTCAAATGCGAGCTTTTCAATTTGAGCACTAGAAGAAGCATTCTCCAGATTTGGATTACCTGAAACATTGGTCACGGACAACGGGCCTCGTTTTTAGTCTCAAGAGCTCCAAACTTTTTGTCTGCAAAACGATATTCAGCATTTCTTTTCTCCAGCGTACCGCCCGCAAAGGAATGGGTTGGCGGAACGGTTCGTGGATACGTTTAGACGAGCTTTGCATAAAGTAAACACCATCATGGACGAAGCAAAAATACGCCAGTTGTTATTACATTATCGGAATACAGTTCCTGCAACGAACAAAAGCCCGGCAGAGATACTTCAGGGTCGAAAACCACGCTCTGTATTCGATCTACTAATTTCACCTGCAACTTTCCAAAATGTGAACAAAGAAATGACCTTTTCGACCGAGAAGACATCTAAAGCATGTAGTAGAAAATTTCACGTGAATCAACCTGTCTTTGCGAAAGATTACTAATGCGACAAAAACTGGATTCCAGCAATCACCACTCGTCTTCTAGGAAAAATTTTGTCTGAGATATAAGTTGCCTCGGGACAACGGCTAACAAGGCACGTGAATCAATTATGCAGACGAGAAGTTAAAAACAGTTTGGAACTTCGAACTCCCACTCAACCGAAAACGCCAAGGGTAAAGTGCCAGTGCCTAACAACTCTCGTATATACAGAGGCGGATAAAGGTCCGGAACCACGCAGATCGATCAGACCAAAGAACGCCCCACAGCGCCTAGTTGTTAACCCAGCTCAGAAATCCTACTATTCGTGTTCTATTTCTATTTCACTTATTGTTTTATTTCTATTTTCAATTTTTAATGATGCATTTCAGTAAGATTTTCTTTTTTTTCCCTGTACTCCGGGTAATCACCAGTGGTGAGCTAGAGAAGTTGCTACTGTTGTGTCCCGGGTCCAACCAGTGGGAGCCTGCACTATTTGTTGAGCACGTCCGCAGCACTCCTGTAGCTTACTTGGTGCATAAATTTTTATCTTGGCGGGGAGGTGTAGCGTCATGAGACCAAACACTATTTGCTTCAGGTGTCAAGTCAATTACACCACCAAAGACCACACCCTGGGGACCTTGAGGGCACCCTTGACTCACTATAAAAGGAGATTCTCTGTGCCACCAAGAGTTGGCCTTCTTCTCTGGAGCGCTTATCGTTGCTTTCTAGTTCTTAAGTATTCCTATTACGAGGCCGCTTTCAGTCCTACAGCGACCTATAGGCAACACTGTCTACATATTTCTCTGTTGTATTGTTTCGTAGTTTACGCTATTGCTCTGCTGTTTATCTATTGAGTGTTGTTGCGCTATATATTATATTGTTCCTACTTATTCCAACAAAGGTTGGTACAAGTACAAACATAAAAGAGGTGTCCTCTTTTTTGCAGGAGAAATACCAATTCATAACTAGCGTTAATCTAGAGACAATAACTTTTTTAAAAACTATGGTAAGCTCCTGAAAAAAATTCAAAAAGATTTGTAAAGTAATCAGAAATTATAGAAAAAGAACGTAATCAGCTAAAAACTATTTTTAAAAAGTTAGAGTTTTTAGGCAAAAAAAACGACTAGACTTTATCTTATCTGTGTTATTTGCTTTGTGGAGTACTTGTTAATTCGTCAAGCAGTATTTCCTAAGCAGTGTAAGACAGCTCTTTACAGCCGTATGAATAAGGTAACACCGACTGATAAATATTTTTTAAAAGCGTGTATTTTTTTAATTTTTTTTGGGTGATGCAGGTTTCAGACCGCAACAAAATTTACAATGTATGTTAACTAAAATGTCTTTTTATTTAAGAATGTTTAACAACCTAATTTTGCCTTTACAGGACTCTTTCAAAAAATCTGCTTGGATAAATGAGTATATGTCGTGTACGCAAAGAGCTCTATCAGCAATGAAACCGTCTACTGTGCAGTATTTTATAATTAAATTATTCGTGTAAATTTGAAGTTTTCCTCCAAGTTTATTTGAGACTGTTTTAGTTGTTTCGAAAGTATAAACTGTATATTTCTTTATGCGAAAGGTTGTCGGTAACCGACGAACAGCTTCCACTTTTGGCTCTGAAGAACGATGTTGAACATAAACATGTCAGGCTACCTGTGCGACACTTGGATGTACATAAGCTAACAGCTTTTACAGTGCTTACACATTTCGCAGTAAAATTTCAAGCGGAGGTTTTTTTTATTGCGAAAGGCTGTGCCTATGTTTATCAAAAAGACTTGATATAAACCTTATAGAACACTGAAAAATGCGTATTTATTGCTCTGGGAATCGGAAAACGAGTTGAATCTGAAGAAATTTTGAAAAAAGCTTTCCCTGAAAAATGTAAAATTTATGGTGCAGATCCTTCTGCAGTTCCCAATAAAGCTCTTATTGAGAGCATAAATGGTACGTTCTTTGAGGCAGCAATTGGGTCTAAGACTGAAATAAAAAAAGCAGTTCTTCTTACAGGTTAATTTTACATTTATATGTTATCATTAAGGTCAGAAACGGTTAAAGCCTCTTTTGATGCTTAAAGCCTCAAAAAGCCATTAAGCAAATGTATATACGAATAAGATATAGTTACAATAAAAAGAAAAAAAAATTTTTTGACTTCTATACCATGATGCAGTTTTCAGTTTTTTAATATTTAAATAAAACAAGAAAAAACAGTAATGGCTCTGTATTTTTAAAACCGCAAATTTATTTCTGGTGATTTTAGACGAAGGATATAAACCTCGTAATATACCACATGTAGCTCTAGAAGAATTTTTAACTAAAATAGTCGGTAAAAGTGATGTTGTTGATTGGATGTCTATTGACATTGAAGGCGGAGAGGTACGTGACACTCTTTTTCAGTTAATCATAATGAAAAAAGCCACAAAAGCTTAACAGCAAAATGACTGCACAGTTGCTATAACTTCAGTTAACGCCTTCTGTTTTTAGATTCAACTGTTTCCATCTCTATTAAATAATGGACTTTTTGACAAACTTGGTATGGACGTCTGTCAGTTCAACATAGAACTTCATTTGGAATCAAGACTATTCGGTCTACCGTCTACGACAGACGCTCTCATCTTCAAATTTCTTATAGACGCCCTAATGAGTGGAAGGTGCAGTTTTTACTATAGAAAAACCAGCTTAGCAACACGTAAAAAAAGCCTGTTTCAACGACGCACTTTCAAAAAGATTATAGGTAGTCTCAGAAATGTACTAAAATCATTTTTTGAAAAGACACTTAAAATATAATTAACGGCGTAAATATATAAAAGAAAAAGTTGCCAAGAAAAGAAGAGAGTTGAAGACAGCGGTATAGGTGCATGAGAAAGTAGAAGGTATGAGTGCGAGTTAAGTTTTTTTTTTGAAGGAATATTTCACTAATGATAGAAGAAAAATAATATTATTGCAAAAAAATCAATACTTTTTTTCAACAAAAGTTGTTATAATTATCATATTTGTTGCTGTTTCTGTGGTCAACTTAAAAAATTTAACAAGTTTTTAAAGCTGCTGTACTCTGGCGTCCTCACCGCGCTGATTAGCCAGCTGCTTTGCAGTGGAAAAGGTGAAGAAGCGGACAATGAGGGGGACAGTAGCAAAGGAAGAGAGGCCCCTGCCTAATACATGTCTTTTAAATAACTCAGTCTTTTTTTACTAGACAGCTCGCTATTTGCAAAAGCTCGTTACCACAGCTCTATTCTCCATGCTGTCCTCTCTGCCTTTCAACGTTCGCCTAAGATTAAATCCGTTGATGATTACTCACTACTTTTTGTAAGTCCTTGGCTGGGAAGTAATATACTTTACCAATCCACAGAATCTATTAAGTCCTTGGTTCAGGATGACACGGTCTACACATCTCCACAACTGTCCAGAAGCGGCGACGAAGGCGCCTTCTTTAAATAGATACATATGCGGCAGTCAATGCGCAAGAGTTCTGCCTTAAGAAGAAAGCAGTGAAACGGAGCGCAGCAAAAGGGAAGGGAGAACAGCGCCTGCATAGCTCTTGTACCTATTTATATACATCTTAGAAAGTTTGTCGGTAAGGTCAGTGAAGCGCAGTGATAAAATACCAGTTTTTTTTGCTGCCAGTTCCAGTTCCGAGTACGTCAGTTTTGCAGTCTAGTTGTTAGTAGTCAAGTGTTTTGTACGAATCTAAAATTGAAGGGTATAGCTCATTGTATGCTTATTTCACCTTTTTTAGAAAAGTTTGTAAGGCGAAATTCCTTAACGTTTAAGGGTCCTGGTAGGAAAGTGGAGATTGATGAAACGCTTTTTACCCAGAGAAAGTACAATAAAGGTACACCGATTGAGAAACAGTGGTGTTTTAAAGGTATAGAGCGAGGGAGTAATAGGTCTTTTGTTGTTTCACTGGAACGGCGAGGTGCTACAACTCTTCTGCCACTGATAGTGCGGCATATTTTTCCAGAAACAACTATGGTTTCTGACCAGTAGGCGGCGTATAGTATCACTGAAGAAATTCCAGAAGGGTATTAACACCAAACTGTCAATCAAAGCCTGCATTTCATCAATCCTGCGTTGGATACTTGCACATACATCACCATCGAATCCTTATGATAATAATTTAACGAGCGTCACAAATCAGGGTATGGGACAGACGGCGCTTTTGGATTTGTATTTGGACAAGTTCGTATGTAAAAAGATATGGAGTCAACCAGCAGTACCACTTTCGGTCACAGATGGCAGAACACTATCCACTAGCTCGTGCCTTTTTACGAAAGCATGGGCATTCTTCACTGGCTCATAACCAATTATTAAGCAGTTTCTTTTTTAGAAAGCCACAATCTCTGCAGCCTTCCTCTCAGGTCCAGTGAATAAAGCAAAGAGCTAATGTTTTGAAATGTCCAGCTACACGCGCAGCAAATAAGCTTCTCTACGACAAATATGAGCTACCCCAAATGTATATCGGGGCGGTCAAAGTACAAAAGCTTTACCTTTTTAAATTTTTGGCTTTTTACATTAGAACTTTGGCAATTTCTTGCACATCGTGTATCATAAGGCTCTAACTGCATTACTGCACATTTTACCTTTTCCTTGGTAGAGATATTTCATAGTTAAAATTAATTTTTGAAGTTACAGTATTTTTTTATCAGATTTTTTAAATTTTTTTTGAAAATTGAATGCTATTTTTATTAACTTTTTGTGCTTGTGAATGATAAGCAAAATAAAAAGAAACAGAGAAAGAAATAGGTGAAAACAGCATTTCCCTTGACAAAGAAGTTTTTTTTTAAAACAACTGCTTTTACAATTTAGATGGTTTGTTAATGCTGAAGAATGTCACTCCAATGTGTGTCATTTTTAACACCTTCCAGATTTATTTTCTTAAAACCAGAAACGCCGTATTACGATCGGATTACAAGTTATGCTATAAACGTTGAAAGCTCTAGATGTCGTCGACGGTACATCGATTCGACGTTGTAAGTTGCGAACAATATTATAAACGCTGATGCCAATTGACTATTGGCCTTCCTTCAGCTGATGCTTTCACGGCCGGCCAAGAAATAACTGTATTGTGTTTTCAACGTACTAATCCCAGTCGTTACAGTCTTCTTCATTTAGAAAGAAGTAATTTTGTATTACTGTACTGCAAGATGCTCTGTACTTCACCTTCACTTATCATTAAACCACGGTTTTTTTTCGCATTTTTAGGAATTGGCCATAATTACGCGTGAAATAATATTGTTTTCAACTTGGTGAAGTTCCTAGCAAATCCATAGCTAACCTCTGTGACAAGCTCTGCAATTGCAATATTTAGGGCTGCTCTACTTAAAAGGGTTTTAAAGATTAAGCTAGGCAATAAAGTTAATTTAAGCGCAACAACATATAGACAAAGATTTTTTCACATGTCTGGATTAGAAACGCGCTGAGAGCTTTATTGGGGAGTTTATTCCTAACTTAGTGTAAAATTTTTTGCAAGCGAAATAATGTTTATTATGCAGAAATTTCAGCAGCTATGGCACAATGCTGCTGTGCTATGGGGAGACATTTAGAGATCACCTTGGTGAACTTCCTAAAGGTGTGCTAAACGTCTAAGTAACTTGAGTAAATGATGTATCACCTATTGTGCATGTATTTCAATGCCTTTGCTCTTTGTCTTCACAATTTTTCGCTTGCACTTTCTTTCTTCAGTCAAGATTTTAGCTAAGATGTGAGAATAACTTCAATTTTTATACGCATTTTTTAAGAGTATTACTGCAGTAACTTTGTTAATACCCATGAATCTTGGTTCTTATTTTAGTTCCTGTAATCCACATTCAAAGTACTTTGAAAAATGTAAAAAGAACGAAAAAGGATTTAGGAGTAGTCGAGAAAATCAGTCATGAAATGATACAAGAATTATTACGTAAGAAGAGAAAAGCTGAAAGGACCAAAATTCCTACAGTTAGAAAGAAAAATAAAGCGAATGGAGAGACTGCAATGTGGTGTTCTCTGCCAGAACTGTACGTTTGACTGTCGCCTGCCATACAGCTACAACAACCGAAAGGCATCGTTTTTTTAGGGAGACAGTGAAGATAATATCAGTTCTAAACGAAGAAAATTAGCTCTTTTTGAAAATTTCTGGGTTATAGACAGTAAAAACGCAAAGGGAACAAAATAAAGATGTCGCAACCACCGACAGATTTATCATTAATTGAGAGGATATTTGCATATTTGTGGTTTAGTTTATATAATTTATCAACCGGAATATTTGTGGTTTAGTTTATATAATTTATCAACCGGAAATCTATTAAAAACAGTTAGAAAAGAATCACAAGGCACGTGCCCGACTCTCTCTATATGAGCAAACGTTATACAAATAAACCACTGAAACAATATAATAAATGGCCAAATGGACACGAATACAAACTTTAAATATTTGAATCGTTAATCTGGCACGAGCTTATTAAAATTATCAAGAATGATCGAGACTGAATACTGAACTGTTTTGAACTGATCAAAGCACACTCTGATAAAAAACTGATAAAAAACACGCTGATCCTGACGGTTGTCGCAACACCTTATATAAAGTCTGTAGAGCAGACTGATCAACTAATTACCCTCTAGAAGCGTCTCCCTAGGGATAGGTAGTGACCTTGTCTGTCTAGTGTAGTTTAAAATTGTTTTTCGCGTACTGTCGCGACACTTCCGACGAACAAGGAGGCGGCCAGATCACGTTTCAGCGAAGAAAGATTGGGGTGAGCGTTGCCGAGATCCTGAAAGTGACATTTAAAAACAATATATAAGGAAAACATATAATGTACCAGAAAAAATCATATAATCACTATAATTCTTCTTGTTGTTGTACCAAAAACTTGCTCCTCCTGGAGTCTTCTCTTTTTGCCTTTTTTGAGGTGCATTAAAAGAAAGATAAAAACAAAACAAAAAATTAAAAAAATAAAAAGAGAAAAAATTAGATAGAAGATAAAAATAAAAATAAAAATGAAAAAACAGAAATAGCATTTCTGGAACTTCAAAATTCATAAAAAAACTTCCCGAAACTCGCAATATTAAATGTCACAGCCTAAATTCAGATTACATGACCTGCTGTTAAAATCCTCCATTGATAACATCGCAAATAATGTATAGTGATTTAAAGTATGAGACTGAAGTTATGAGTTTAAAGTTATTAATCAAATCATCAAAAGTGGTTCAAACTCAAAATCTGACTGAAAATGCAACTGACGGAAGAGACGAGGAGGTCTTTCTTCGACAGAAACCGACCGACAGTATCTTTTAAATTATTCAATTATTATACAAGAAATACTTAATTTAAAACGAGAAGCGTAAACACAGGGATAATTACCAGGTGCAGAAAACCTTCAAAAGTTCACAGCAGCAACATCGACTTCTGAGCTAATTATGTAAAATTATGAACATTTTTTTGATTAAAAACGAGAAACTGGAGTATGAAAAGTTCAAAGAGAACATATAAAAATTTGATAAAAGGAAAAAAATTTGCGAGAATAATCAAAATCTGCTACGTCTAGCAATACATATCAGCTTACTTAGTATTAGTAAATTAAGAAGTAGTACACTTTTTGGCAAACACCTGTCTTTGTTTTACCACTTTAAACAACAATTTTAAACGTTTTTAACATTAATGTTTAAAAAAAATTCAATTTTTTTGGTATCGGTCGAAAGTTTCCTAATTGATTTTACACTTCTTAAAGTATATATCTTTTTCATTGTCTTATGTTCTCCGATA